ATTTTGCATAGTATCAACCTGTTTTTGGTAGTTGCACACCTTTTATGTGTACAATACACATTTTAATTAGTTTGTGCATTATTATAAGGTTTGCCCTTTTTATAAAGGATATTTTTTATTGGTTGCTATGAATACCTAATTTTGCATAGCAGCAACCTATTTTAATAGTTGCAGATTTTTTATGAGTTCTATATTCACTAAACTTTGTTATGAGTACCAATATGAAGCTGCAAAATTGATAATTTAAACTTATATTACTTAACAACCAGATACTTTCCTTAGTTACACAGAGTTACATGATTTTTAAAATATATTTTTATCAAATTTTCAACTCTTTTTTTTTTAAATAATTAAGTATTAATGTAAATAATTTTAGGTAAAGATTTAGATAATTAATAATAAAAACAAAAAGTAGTGCAAGAACACATTTCCGATTCAAAGTACATCTACAGTTTATAAAACGTACATACATAAAATAAGAAATCATATTTTGGGTCAACACATATTTAAATAATAAAATTAAATTTTTATACTATGGCCTATTCTACTATCAATTTATTACAGCTTAAAATAGCATTAATAGCCATAACTGTGGCTAAGTATTACTTTTTAAATGATAAAATGTAATAAAATCAGTACTGTTGTTATACAAAATCAACTATATAAAAAATGTATCAACAGCAACCAAATAAAAATATGACTTCCATAAGAAATCTGAATTTCATTTTATTACACACGCTTATTATTAAGACAATTCTAATCACTTTGTTTCACTCCTTGATTTGTGTCTTATCTCTGAACCTAGTTTGTGTTCAGTTTCTTCTTGTTCTCCTTTAGGTGTTTTAAATCATGATACGATCTCACTAACACTTGATAGTTCCAACATATGATAGTTCTTGTTCTCCTTTATGTCCATTATTTTTTACTATATTTTGTATTTTACCTTAAAAGTTATGTTCTAGAGGCTTTTCAAAAATCAAGCATTTATTTTTAAAAATTTAACAATGACATTATAAAAGGCTAGCATTCTGCATGTCATGTATGGATCTTATTAACTCTTTTAAGGTAGAACTATTTGTAAACAACTTTTCATCAAACCTATCTATTGAATCTAATTTAAGTACTCTTCCATGTCATCTTAAAAAACTGGTTGATCCACTTTAAAAGTTCAAAATTACTTTTAAATTACTTTTGCTTCTGCTAAAATTATTTTCTACTAGAAGTTTTTTATAACTTGTTCAAGTTCCTATCAGATTTATAGTGATTGAGTTGAAAGGTTGTAGTAATTTAAAAGTAATACGTAATTGTAAAACCATAGAAAGTTATCTGGAGCAATTGCTAGGTGCTATATTTTAGTAATCTGTTAATCAAAATAATTTATAACAAGTATTTTGCTGATGCATCTTCCTACAAAAAAGTTGTTTCTCAACTCAAACTCCAAACACTATGCGAAGATGTTTAGTATTACACATAGAATTTATTAAACTTAAATTATCAATTTATCACAGGTTCTTAATTTTTATTAGCTTTGCTAAACTTTTAGTTGGAATGAAGTGTTATTGTGTTATCATTTTATATATTTTTCAAATTGAGAACTAATCAATTTTAGATTTCTATTCCAACCTTTGCCCATTTATTTTGAGAATAAGAGATCTTAAACAATTGATATACTATTGTCCAGTAATAGTATTCCCCTTTTCAACATATATACTTAATAAATGACACCTATCATTTTGAAATCTTTTATTTTATAATAGGTTACAAAAGAGTTTTCCAAAACTCTCTAAATTAAATTATTTCTAAAATAGAATCTAGAAATTTAATGATAAAAAAATTGTTTATATCCAAGAATTTTTTTTTTTAGTTATACTTTTAGTTTTTTAGTAATATCAAAAAAAATAATATTGAGAAATTTGAGTTTTGAAAAACTTCAACATATCCACAAAACTGGATTTTCCTTGAAAAAAAGACTTTTCTAGAAAAGTCAAAGATTTTTCTCGTGAACAGCAAGAAGAAATAATAAAAAATAATAAAATAAACAAATGATAAAAAAAAAAATAAAAAAATAAAATTCAGTTCAGTTCAATCAAAATTATATGCTGTGTGAGTAATTTTTCGGAAAATATTTTGAGAGAAAAATTTAAAAATGCATCTCATTTAGATTGCAGGAAGATTTTAGTTCACAGGAGGAATAGTAATCAAAAAGTGAGAGAATTAAAAATTAAATTTGATATCTCTTTAGAATTAATTGAGATTTAACCAGTAAATATGAAAAGTGTTGTAGTGTCAAATCACTACAAAATGCCTGCTGTAAAACAAAGGCTTGGCAACACTATAAACAGTTACAATAATGTTTTTGTTAACATATGATATTGATAAAGACTCTTGGACAGCAGAATAAAATAGCACCATTTCTAATCATAATTTGAAAAATTATCATCATCTAGAAATTTTAATGTATATTTCTGTAACTATTTCTTAAAGTTACAGAAATATACATTAAAATTTACATTGTAACTATGCCATAAAGTGCAGATGTTAAAATATTTAAAAATGCAATAAAAAAATTATTTTGTCACCTTTTTAAAGTGTGCATTTGTATTTTATTTTTTTAAACTTCAGCATCAGATCAGAGTATTTTTCTTTAATATTCTGACCAATGTTTTTTTAAGCAAATTTTAAGCAGAACAAAAATGTATAAAAATCCATGAATAACTATGAATAAAAATCTCAATCATAAAAAAATAGTGATGAAAAGAAAAGAGAAACTCTAATTACGCCAATAATTATGTTTAATAATTTTTCATAAATGTCTTAAAAAGCAAATCACAAAGAAAAATTTACTTGATGGCAAAATGTTGCAGTTGGAAAAACCTTAAGTCAAAAAATAAAATAAAAAGCAAGTTCATTTATTATTTATAGTATTTCTTTGATTACAATATTTTTGTGTTGTAAGTATTTTGTATTGTAATTATTTTTTTTTTTTTTTTGATTGATATGCAGCACAATTTAAAGATTTTAAAAACTTTATCAATTTTTGCCATTACATCATAGACTTAGATTTAAATGCTAAATTGGTACTTTTTGCTACCTGCCATCATAAAATCCCCCTGTATTGTTATTGGTCGGACTGTTAAAAAAGTAGTTTGTCAAAAAGTCAAAAACAAGTAACTAATGGCCAGAATTTGTATGTTTATTATAAAATAAACTATTGGACAGATTTAGATGTTAATCTACTATTTTTGTAGATTAACATCAAGCAAATTGAAAAATATATATATTTGAATAAAAGAACAGTTTCTTTCACAACCAGGTATTATCTTTTTATTCCTATTAATTCAAACACAATAAGTTATAAAAAAACTAGTGTGGATAGACATACTGAAGTATTATATATTATTCTAAAAAAAAATAATAATAAAGAGGTTTCATAAAACATGAAAAAAATGAACTATACTGCTTATTTTTATGATGAAACGACTGTAAAACATATGGGTTACGTATTTTTTTGTGTGGATGATTTTATATGATCTCTAATGATCCATTAGCAATGTGTGACTAGCAAGTTTTAACTACTGCAAAACTTAATTATCAGCTCCTGGTAATGTTTCTTCTCTTAAACATGCTGTATACTCCTGATTACTCTTGATCTTTTCTTTACCTCTAAATATATATCTTATTCATTCTTATACCAATTACTGTTGTCATTGATGGACTAGTTCTTCTAATGAGATTCCCTTTCTTATAGACAAGATCTGAAAATGCATTTTAATTGTTGTTATCATGTCAATTCACTCAAGCTGCTAAGCTTTATAAACAAGTGGTTCTGAGTTCGATTCCCACCACGTCCCTGGTAGTACCGTGCTCAACTTGTTTCTCTGCGCAGCGGCCTCGTTCGTCAAGGTTCGTGTTTCGAAGTTATAGAGTTAAGAGAGGGTTGTTACCACAAATAAGTACCCTCCTCGTCTGTAGTGGCCTTCTCAGCCTTGAGGAGGTGAATTGAAAAAAAAAAAAAAGCCTAAGCCACTGATTCATTTTTGAAGATCAGCTTTCATCTTCAAAGAGCAACTTTCATCTTTTTTCTCTTTTCAACAAATACTATCATAGTTCCTGCTCAAGCTGTTTATATACTTGTTCTTAAGTCACATCCTATTACTATACCTGTTTCTTCATTCTTTAAAAAATTATCTAGTTATTTATTGCAAACATCAGTGCTTTAGAGTTCTCTCACACCTTATGTTTTCCTGACACATAAGTAATGACACAGGCAATTGTAAAGATAGCAAAAATGCATTCATGAAGCCCTTTTTATCAGGCTTCCCGAAACATCATTGGTGAATATATTGTGGCTTTGAGGATAGAGTTTTATCTACATTAGGTGAATTATTAATTTCTTATCTTTAATAAGATCTAACAACACTCTGATTTTTATTATCATTTCGCCCTCCCCTTTTCGTATGTAAATATATATAACTTCACATTGCATATATATATATATATATAATATATATATATATATATATATATATATATATATATATATATATATATATATATATATATATACCAATAAAAATATATATATATACAACACTATATATATACCAATATATATATATATATAATATATATATATATATATATATATATATATATATATATATATATATATATATATATATATATATATATATATGTATATATATATATAATATATATATATATATATATATATATATATAATATATATATATATATATATAATATATATATATATATATATATATATATATATATATATATATATATATATATATATATATATATATATATATATATATATATATATATATTTGTATTGTGGATTGTTTTTTATTTTCTCTCTATATGTGCATATTAGGGGATGCCAAAAAAAAATTTTTTGGTCGCGGTTTAAAAACCTGTTCTATACATCAAAATTAGCAAAAATATGAATTTTTAATGTTCTATCTCAATTATAG